CTACAACTTGATAATTCATGATGAATAAACAGGTGAAGCATTGATGAGATTTTACAATGAGGAGCGGAATCTCCATTTCCATTTCTATATCAGTAATTAAAGGTTGGTTTGGATGAAGATTAGTCTTTTCAGTAAATTTTCTTCGGGTTCTTACAGTTTTAAAATAAAATAAAGCTAAGTGATCATTATAACAGAATAAGTATGGCAAATGTTCTGAGCTAAATGTAATTACAAAATAGTGTAAACCTACCTGCAGTATAAGTGTACTTTACATCTGTTGCCAAGCAGTTTTTCTTTATTTCAAAGGCCATATCATGCCTGTCGATATAGTGGAGTCAGTTCATAGCTCACATAGATGATTTACTGTTGTTGGGTCCTCTGAGCTGGTTAGTTTAACTGCGAAGCTTTTGTTGTCCTTATGGACAACTTCAGTGGGAAGTTTTGGTGTGTTATAAGGTGTTTCACCCAACATGAAACTAGTAGTGAGTTACACACCACCACAGTTCTGAAGTTCCATGCGTATCGTAAGTGTCTCTTCTGTATTTCAGATCCTCAGCTAGGAAACGTACACCTGTCTGATTTATCCAGACTAAAGTTTACTAACTTCATGAATTAATGCTGCTCCTTTTTCAAACTGATTCTAAATACGTTTTCATAGCTCGTTTATCATGCTAGTGGCTCGGCACACCTGACAGAAGACCAGATTACTTCATCCAGTGAAAACTCACCACTTCATACAGCTAACTCACCTTCCTTGTCTAACACGGCAATTTTAGTACCAATCATCTGTTCTCGCCCAAGATGAGCACCAGACCGAATAAATGTGTATTTCTTCCATTTCCCCTAACTTCAAAGTCCTTTCTGGGAAGCTGTGATCGTATTATATTCAGGTGTTCCAGAATAGACAGTGATCTTCCATTGATCCTATCTATCGACAATGAATATTAAAATGATTTGCTCTTTATTGGTGTAACAATGCAGGGATAGCGTTACTCCATATATCTTTAGTTAGTGTTGACGAGTGCACGGTTATTTGAACAAATTTGAACAGTTCAATATGCCGAGACTGATACAGGGACACCAAGTTGGACAGAGACGCGCTGTTCACAATTACCGATTGACTACTCAACAACATTATACGAAAACTTGTTTCCCCAGTCCGCGCTACTTAAGCGGGAACACACAACGACTTGAGCCGCTAATGATATTTTTTATGCAATTATATATGATTGGAAATATCATCAAGGTTATGTCAGTTAGTTTTTAATTATGATCAATAAAACAGTCACCGTTATTTTACGTAGGCCAATTATGATTGGTTAATTTGAAGACTGGATATCGATCATCATATCACCAATAAAGGAAAATCCATTGACTATCTATCTACATATGAGTTATACATATAATTCTCCGTAGATATGCTTTTTGTTCGACTGAACTGCTTTCGAGAATGAACGTCCCTTAATGTTGTATACGCATCTAGGCGTTTCACTTTTTTCAAAGAATGGAAAAATTCTGACAAAAACTCATCCGAACTATTGTTCACGGATAGTTAGAGATTACAGAAAGATGCCAACGAATATTATAATTTTCTCTCATTCAGTCATAAAGCAGCTTATGACCACTGTGATATACTTGAAATAAGTGGATTCTTGATCATTTTAACTCTTGTACTTGCAACTTTCGATAACACAGAGAAAGTAATTTATAGTGGGAATGACCAATTTTCTTCGGTAGCTAAAAGCCTTCCAAATCTGTTAACTGGTAAGTGTCGTCAAGTTAAGCACACGACTCTAAAGTTAATATGCCCCATTACGTCAGCAAGAAAGCGCAATCCAGAATACGTTTCATTGGGAAGAAATTCAACAATAACGAATAAGATAGTTATCATGACTTTCAGTAACAAAATGAAACAATGGGATTCGGGAAGAGAACTTAGTTCTTTGCTTAATCCAGTGAGTACTGGTTAGAATACTACAGTTAAGGAAAATGACTGTTTGACTGAAACCTTAAGTGACAGAGTTATGCTGAATATGTTTAAACCAGGATCATAGATCAGACTGATACTATCGTTTTCTGTACCTCAGTACTTCCATTTTCCATATAATACTTCCATGAAATGGGTAAGTTTACTTTTTTGAATGATATTTCCTTGATGTATTCCTAAAATGTGAGTTGAACTGAATTTCAAACGTAGAAATTTATTTTTTAAAAAAGTGGAACAGTTCAATTTGCCACACCTTCTAATTGACTATTCCTAACGTTTTTCCAAATCCAGTGTTATGTTAGCGAACACTGCTTGACGACAAAGGTGATAGCTTGAGAACCATGACACATGTTCAAACTGTTTCAGTTGATGAAGCTTCGCAACGCCATCAACTTACTTCCCTAACATACCTGACACTTTACGACTTATCTCAATATTACTCACCATGATATACCACTTAAAACATCCGTGGTCAAAGAGAAATAACCTTTTCTTGTCTTCCACTCCCAACGGCTACGTGAATTGCTGTCTGATACACATATCCTTTGATAGATAGCGGCAAACGTCACATAAGGCAGTTCATGAGGGTTGAATTAATTTCCCAAATAGGCGGTTAACTCTTTAGAACACTTCACTTCCTATTCGTTAAACTCGGTGTACATCATTCCTTCGGCACCATCTTTTATTTGACAGGGGCGAAACCCATGCCATAAATTCGAAGATTTCTGCTCTTATTCGAAAAATCCTTCATTTTTTCAGTGTCAACACCCAGAAGGACTTCATCATCTGCTTACTCTAAATCGATAACAATGTACCCCGATAAAAAATCAACCCCTAATTCACCCATGTCCATTAAAGTCACCTATGACAACTCTGAAGTAATGTACTCTCTCGATGAGACATTACACACATTGCCGTTCGGCTGACGGAGACAAATACTGTCTTCAGACGAAGAAAAGTGACAGCAGTTGGGCTTCGATAATTATCCCTGTGTTTCAAAACCTGTCGAATGGTGAAGGTATGATAAATGCACGTTAGTCTGAGCCTACAGTTCGATTGGTTTCCACGGATTATTCTCCCGAGGATTGTGCACAGTGTACGCAAGATTTCTGAACCACAACTTTTCTCTCAATAGGAAAGTACCTATCAGTGTTCTTAATTAATGCAACCGTCGTTGAAGGAAAAACTCTGAAGTCTTAGATTAATGCAGCTTTTTTTTTATTAAGGTGAAAGTAAAAACAAAAATTACACAATTCTAGCAACAACAAGAATAAATTAATGAAAAATAATGATTATGACTGAAAATAAATAATCAAATAAACTGAATGATAGGTAGAATAGTGCGTGTTTAGACTGTGTTACTCTGTGTTCACGTTTTTATTTTAAATGATCACTGGACTTAACAACAACAACAACAATAACAGTAAACTCGACATAATGTCACTCTCACGGCACTTTTTTGTTATTAAGATATGGAAGAGGACATCAACCACTATTCAACAACTAAATCAGAAAGCAATCAATCTAATATGACACCGATCTCAAAAAGAATAACAAAAGATAAATTACGAAGAAAGTCAAAACAAGTGATTCAGTGAAGCGACTCTTCAACAAATTTATTGTCAAGCTGTACAATCATATATATAATTTTTGAGAAAGTACAACCGGTCAGGGAATTGAATCATAGGTGTGACTGCATAAATAATAATAGTATTAAATGCAATTAAAGTGTTTGTGATTGTAATCATAGTTAAACGTCAAGTGGCTTACACACAGTAATTTCGTATATACAATAATTCACAGGATGTATGCAACTTGGAAGGGGTGTGAAGTTATAGGATTAATGAACAAATTGAATACCAACAGAAACGTTACGTAACATTGTGTGAGATTTGATAGCATATAATTGAACGTTGCAAAACAAAATTGATTTAGAATGACAAGTGGAACAAGTGAAATAAAACCGGGGAAAGTTCAAAGTGAGAATAGTAATAGTAACAACTGACGTAATAAAGGAAGAGTATACAAAGTGAATAAGTAAAACGGAAAAAAATGGTGGAGCCAAAATATGATTAGGGGGCTGAGACCATGAAAGTTGGAGAGGCTGAACGAAGCTTTTCTGTACACAGAGATCTGGCTTTTCTGTTTCGATAGCCAAAGCTTCAGCAATACAGATGAGTCGGGTACGTAGTGATTTGGGTAAATTACTTTTCGCCTGGTAGATGACTTTAAAGGCGGAGGCTATAGAGACAGGGTGATCATTATCGATCAGATGTTCAATGATCGCGCTTCTTATAGCTCCACTTCCACCTCTTCGTAACCATGCAAGATAGTGTTCTTGCACTCTTTTGGACAAAACTCGAGTCGACTGACCGATATACCTAGCTCCACATGAGCAGGTGAATTGGTAAACGCATATAGAGTTGGTCAACTGCAAAATCTTCTCCTTCAGCTTACTGAACAGTTATGGTTGACTGGAAAACGCTATTCTCGAAGATACAACAGGAAATATCCTCTTCAGGGACTGTGAAATCGTTATTTTAATGATATCGGAAGCTAAGTCACCTTCGAATTCCAAGCTCATGCGCAGTATTTTCTTGGTTACTGATGTTAATTCAAATTTCACAGGTTTTAGCTGCATACTCTTGTCTATAAAAAGTGGCGAATATCCATTTTCTATTGGGATTTTTCTTAAAAGATTTAACTCTTCCTTCAAAGTGTCAGTACTACATATGGCAAGCGACCTGATCAGATTTCGTTTCGAACCAATGGGTTCCCATCTGTAGAAACTTGTCATGGTGAATGCAGAGATTTGTTTACGAAGAAATATGATGAGAAAAACAAGTTGGATAAAGTAAATGAGATTTATGTATAGGCAATTGCGGAACTTTTCTTCCGCGTATCTCTTTCCTTCGCGCGCGCGCGCGCGTTATTATCATCAGAATTCCCAGATGAGTGTGGTAAACTAGATTTAAAGCTTCAAGGTATATTTCACAAAGATATACCTCAAAATTCACTGCTGTCCAACATTTGTTGCCGGTGCTTTTTGTAATTCAGTCAGATCAATAAATATTTGTTCCAATGTTGTTCGACTAATGGAAGAACCAACATGTCCCAAACGTGTTTTATTTGATCCTATTAAATGAAATGAACGGCTTGAATATATCTGACTTTGTTCATCTGTAGGTAAATGATATTGCAGTACACTCTGTAAGTTAAAAAATAACAAAAGAGAAACTTTAGCAGTATTAAAACGCTAAATAAAACTATGTGACTAAATGCCACCTAACGCGAGAGATAGAACGCAGACGCTTATAACAAAAACAGCTAGTCTTTTCGCATCTTCCACTTTCAGTAGCCATGTCTCACAGCCGTAAATGGGGACGGAGCGAAACTGATTGCACTACACAACTCGTTTGATCAATAGCTGGATATCGTGTCTACGCATAAGATGAAAGTTGGAAAGTGCCACACAAGCCACACGATCGAAAAACATGTTTTGATTTGTTTGGTTACAGAATTTCATCATGAGCTGACATTGGTTAGAGAACTGCTGGAAAACCTGGGAGTACTGGACAGCTGTTTCGTCCTAGTTTGGGATTCCTCACAGCACACACCCACCGGGTTTTGAACCCAGGACCTTCTGGTTACAATGCGAGCTGGTAGACCATTAAGCCACTGGGACCTGATTGATTTGTAAAGATCAGTCGTATCTAACATGCTGCATTTTTACTGTCTTGTTTTTGGATCATTTGTGATGTCGAATGGGTCATATATTTCAACCGAGTATTCTTAGGCCTCCAAAGGTAATCGTGGTGAAATTTCATCTGGAACTGTGTGTTTAGCAGATGGCTATTGGAAGGCTTATTGACAAAAGTGTATGCGCGATACCGTATTACCGACTATTGGTTCGGTATCACAGAATACCGAGATCTGCGGACAGATGTGACCGGCCCCTAAATATCATTGTTATCTACGGATTCATAGACGAAAAGGTTATGTGTGATTAAACGAACACACGAACATCAATGCCCTTTGGAGTAGACTATGCCTAAAGTGTGTGGTGAGAGATATCACGTGTCTATTGAAATATCATCAGGTGGGTGTGGGCTCAAACTGAAGAAATCGAGTGACTATTCGAAATGGTGTAGCTCTTATAATGTTTGTAAAGAAATGTTTTGCTTATATATACTACCCAAGCTTACACAAATGCAATAGTTGTTTCTGTTTGGGTGGAAAAATATGTGCTCCACCGTTTACATGTTCTTGTTATCTTTTTCCATAATCTCAAACCTATACTGACAGACTGCTTTGGTGAAGATTTCCTTCACTTTAACTAAATTCACCAACTACATTGTCGTATAGCAAAAACATTGTAACAGTGGTGAAATGACACGTGAGTAGGTTGGTGAAATAAAAAGATAGTGAAAGAAACTGTCATATCTGAGCTGCTAATGGTTATGATGGTGATGAACTCGACTGGTATGCTAATATGCCTATTTGTCCATTGTACCTTCTGATTCCTTGAACCACAAAATATCTGAAGACAAAGGCTTGCCTGTAACTGTAAGATACTGTACATTTATTAAGAAAACGACACAAGATATTCATACATTTTCTTTGCCAAATTAAATTCGGCTCACAGCTGTGAGAAATAATTGATCGCACAACCAATCACAGTATGCGTGAGAAAGGATGATATACTATTTAATGCAGGATCCTATCACCTTCCCCCGTAAAATGTGTAGAACTGTCTTTTGTATCTGGTTAGAGAAGTTGTGATTTTTGAACCGGAAAAAATTCTTGTTGGATATATTTTTTGAGGCAGAAGTACTTGGTGCCGTATGATAAGGCAGCAAAAATCTATGCAAGATACCTCTCATTGTTCTCTCCCTCTTCCCTCTCATGAAAGCACGCTTAGAGGCATCGACGATGCGTTCACCTTGTCCGTAGGATTGGGGTTGGTACTGAATAGGACGTTTAGGACGGAAAACTAGCTTATCGCTCGTCGTCCGCTCGCTTCAAGATGATAGTTCGGTCACTATCCCAAACATTTGAGTTGTGCAAATTGGTTTATGTGCATACAGCAGCACTGCAAACGATCTAGAGCCTTTTTCACTGGGGATGGATGGTCAGTGTTTAAATTCTCTCAACCACAGGAATCTGGTAAGTTGGAATATTTCATTATCAGTCTACAGTTTACAATTTATTTAGGATAGTAGGCTATATGCCTGTGTTAATCCTTTCGATTTGTTGCACACAGGAGGTCCAATCTCGCCTTGAACGAATCAACGGATGGCGCTGATACGACGTGTTCCGGTAGGGAGTTCCAATGGTTCACAATTCGATGCGAAAAACGGATCTCCAGACGCAGACGATTCGACCGTGGTTTTTGCACCTTGAGGTGATGCCCTCGCAATTGGTTGGTGCTAGAAGGAAGAAATATATTAGATAAATTAGCTCCAAAATCATTTCTTAGGATACGGTATGCTAGTATTAGGTCACCCCTAAGTCGTCTGTATGACAGTGGAAATAAGCCCAGTCGACTTAACCCCTCCTCATATGAGAAGGTTGAGAAACCCTTTATTAGCTTAGTTCCTACTCTTTGCACCTTTTCTAATAAGTCTTTTTCGTATTTGAAACACGGGCTCGCTGCCTGGATCCCATATTCCAAATGAGGTCTGATATAAGTCGGATATAATATACGAAATATATCAGCGTCAAAATTCGCAAAAGCCTTGCGTGTGGCCCATAATATTCGAAAACCCTTAGTGGCTGCAGCTCTACAGTTTGTTGCTGTTTTCAAGTCATGCTGCACAACCAATTCCAAGTCCTTGTACTCAGTGACCACTGGGAGAGCAATGCCATTCATTGAGTAATTGTGCACGTGACTATGAGATACATGCATAACTACACTCTTGCTTAAGTTAATCTCCAAGGCCCAGTGCTTACACCAATCACTTAACAAGTTTAAATCTTCCTGCAAAGCAAGTCGATCACTGTCATCGTGTAAAGCCCTCCATATCTTGATGTCATCAGCAAACAGTAAGCAGGATGACTTAACTACCGATGGAATCTCATTAACATAAATCAGGAAAAGAAGTGGGCCTAGAATTGTACCCTGAGGAACGCCACTCCTAACCGATTCCCATGTTGATAAAACCCCGTTAACTCGTACTCTTTGTCTTCTGTCCTTTAGAAAGTCTTGAATCCAGTCGGCTTTATTGATTCCCAGACTACCTAAGTTTACTAGAAGACCTGAATGAGAAACCCTGTCAAACGCCTTGCTAAGGTCGACGAATATGGCATCCACCGGTATATTAGCATCAGCTGAACTTGCCCAACTTTCTCTGGCCAAAAGAAGGTTGGTCAAGCAAGAATGACCTGCTCTAAAACCATGCTGTCCCACAGCGAAAAGTTTGTTCCCTTCAATGAACTGAATGATAGCATCACGAATTATTCTTTCTAGTAGTTTAACAACAATACTGGTCAAACTAACAGGACGATAGTTCTGAACTAAGTTTCTAGATCCGGTTTTGAAGACCGGACTAATGATAGCATCTTTCCAGTCAGTCTCTTGGACATTTAGACTGGTCCAGAGACATATTGAAGATTACCGACAATGGCTCGGCTGTGTTTTCAGCCAATGCTGTTAATATACGTGGGTGGAGTTCATCAGGGCCACTGGACTTACCAGGATTGAGCCTTAGAAGCCACTTTAGGACAGTGTCCTTTCCAATGTATAAGGGTGCCTTCTGGAAAAGTTACAAAGCTGGTATCAAGATTATCAGAGAATACTTGACTAAAGTGCTCAACCAAAGCCTCAGCCTTAGTCAAGTTATCCTCAGACATGTTTGTCTGGTCATCTTCAAGCATAAGAGGTGGGATAGTATCACTCTTACGTGTTCTTCTCTTGATATATGCGAAGTCTTTTTGGGCAGCCTGGTGAACTTTTAACTAACTGGGTTTCTTAAGCTGTCCTTGACTGGTGAATCAAAGTTTTACACTGGTTTCTGGTTTCACAGTATTTCAGCCGGAACTGCTGTAGCCCAGTAGAAACAAAGAGATTCCAGAACCTTTTTCTCCATCTTAGGAGTGTTATAGGTTGTCTATTTATCCATTTTGGCCGATTTGTTGGCCTTTTAGGAGCCCTCCAGGGAATGAAATCAGTGGTAACCCTCTCAAGTGTATTCTTAAATCTATCCCATTCATCTTCAATGGATGAGACAATATTGACTGACCAGTCGGCAGTTGAAGCACGCTCCTTTATAGCGACTATGTCAGCATGCCAAACACTAGGTCGGGATTTGGGTTGAAAACTGACTAAATTGCCAGCCCTTAAGTTAAAATCTAACACCCCATGGTCACTGTTTGCTAGAGGTGGATGAATAACTAGACCATGCACGTCGTCGTTGTCATGAGTAGGCACTAAGTCCAGCAAGGAATATCCTTGGGTAGAACCGAATCTTGTACTACCTAAGACATGTTGTGTCAGGGCATTTTCCATGGTAGTCAAGAGTAACCGGCTGTCAAACTTATTAGCGGATCCTGGAGATGTGACAGCTACCCAGTCTATATGAGGTGCATTAAAATCACCTGGAATAAGACAGCTACTGTGTTTACTCCATTGTTTGAGGTGATCTAAAATAAAGTCATCACATTGACAATAGGGACTTCTATACAGAACTCCAATTAGTAGAGTGCCAGTTACAAAGTTTACTTCACAGCTAATTACCTCACTTGTCCCCCTGTCATGCTCTTCAGATTTCACGGAACGAACATGTAGGGCGTTGTTGATGTACAGTGCAACCCCGATATCTCTACGACCCTTAACCCTGTCGCTGAGCAAGCAACTAAATCCGCATAGCTCAGGTGTGTCATCTAATCCAGAAACCAGCCATGTTTCAGTAATGGCCACAATACCTGGGCTTAGGTCTTCCACTAGTACACCTAGCTCGTGAAATTTGTTCCCGATACTACGTATATTAGTGTACACTACCTTCAGGCTTCCTATGCGCTCCGGCTTATCCACACAGGTCTTGGAAGCATACATTTCCAAGTGTTTGGGATAGTGACTACACTATCGTCTTCTAGCGAACGGACGACGAGAAATCTGACTGATGTAGAATTCTGCAAAAGGATATGTAGTGAATTGGAAATATGGCTGTGTTACTTTATTATGTATCAGGTTGCTTTAAAAAAATAACG